CGAAACATTTTTCTCTATCCCTACTAGTTTTCGAGATATTTGACTGGATCACTTCAGATGGTCCACCCTGTATATATAATTTATGAATATACACATAAATATCCAATACTGGCTTTTAGGTATTTTACTCTCTGATTTTTATACTCTTTAGTTTCCTTTCATTCCTTTTACAGAATATTGAAAAAGTATAAATATATTTCTAAAGTTAAGTATATATATATATAATAATTCTAATAATACAATAATTTAAATAATACCAAAATAATTTTTACTAACCGAATAGGAAATTATCAAATTGGCAGCATCAGCGGATCTAATGTTCAATTTTGAAAAGATAATAACGTTGCTGACTGCGACAAATCTGTCAGCCGAGTAGATACGAAGAAAAATAAAAAGAGAAAAATGCCAAAACTTAGTCGCACAAAAATATAGTAAATTTGTTACTTCCCTCGGGAGCAACTAAAATAGACTTTCCTCAAACTCAGCTTTTGGCTGATACGAGGGAAACAACGGCAGTAAACTAAAGGAAAATCCCGCCGGATTCTCTCCCTCGCCGATAGACTTTACACATATATTCGATTATCAAATCGAAAATACTAGGAGTATCGAAAAAGCATTCGTTTACTTTGAAAAGCCATGGTCAGCGCGTGTTATAACTATGCTGTTGCATAAATAAACTACCCCTCACCATATTTCACGCAACTACCCCGCCAAGTTTCAATACTTTAATTTTGTCTGGCAGCATTCCACGTAATTCGAAGCAAGCGGGCTTCCTCTTTCTGAAAGTTTCGCAAACGCGAATCGACTGCTGAATGAGGACTGAACTTTTCAATTGAAACAGTCCGCATGTCGTTGTATAGCTCCGACTTTTCTCCTTTTTTTCCCATTGATCAACTAACAATGCGAGTAGTACTCGTTGCACTTCCGCCGTTTTCCTCCTCTTGTATCAATGATTCTTAATCCCCATCCTACCAGATCATCACGATAAAGTAAAGTGATAAGATATCATGATTCAAATGCAGAAAAGATTGTCTAATATACGAAGATCCTTCTTTTAAAGGCGGATGTTGCATATCAGTCGGCGTATCATATCATCGTATCGTCGTTGCATATCAGTGCAAACGGAGAGTGTTGCACCGTTGTGTCAAAATTGTACTACAACGATATGCACATCACGTCGTCATAGCATTTCACTGAAGGACTTGCTGCAGTGAGTTGACCCACATTTTGTAAAAACGGAGTAAATATATAAAAAGAATGATTTTGCTGAAATATCTAAAAATTTAACTAGATACAGTTCTGAAAGTAATTTTGTTGAACCATCAAAACAATTATATAAGAATTTCAAATATGA